CCACTTCCCCAATTAAAAAAAAAAAGTCGTTGTAAGCATAGTAGAGCTTTTTTGTTTTGTGGGGAACTGTGTGTACACAGGCAGCCAACAGTCTAGTAATATGAACTAATCCCTCTAGCTTATTTTCCATACAGTTGAGGATTGATGTATAAAGCTGCTGTTACAGAAAATATGTAGATTGCTCTCCTTGATCAGATTGGCTTTCTGTAATGTTGTCTATCAGATATATTACTTGCTAAATAAGATGAAATTAACGGGGGCATGGATGCTTTAAAACAGAAGGCATTTCATTTTGAGTTTTCCCCACCTTCAAGAAGAAAGATGTAGATAAGGCTTTGATGTAATTCATGAACATATTAAGCAGTAAACTAAATGCTCTGTGCATGCTCAACTAGCCCTGGGTGTGTTTCCTCTCCACAATTTGACAGCCTATAGTCATAACATTTGTGCATAGTACATGTACTACAAGCTACCTATCTGAGGACAGATACATTAACTTCCATAAACCAACAGTGATGCTTTATTTTTCTTATGATGAGGACTTTGTTTTGGAACTGAATCATTACTTGATGCTGATGAGGGGCCAAGGAAATTTAATTGCTCTTTGCTGGACTGTCTTCACACACATTTCACTGCTGGATTTTCACCTTAGTCTCACCCTATTCTATAAGCATATCTCCCAACTTTGGTTGTGGAGAATGACTTAAGTGGATTTTACATGTGATTAGAATTACAACTGAAGCTAGAGATAGATTGGAGATCATATCTAATGATTCACTTTTGTCATTTCTATAGGTGTGTTAACCCTAAAAGCTCTGTTCTTAGATTTTGAGCTTATGGTTTTGCTCATGACTGGCACTCTGGTAACACTGATTAATACTTTAATCTCTTAGTTGAATAAGGTTTGGATTTCTCTTAGGAAAAATCTACATCTCAGGAGAAGTTCCACAGATTCTGTATCCTCGTCTGTAATATGGTTTCATCTAAATATTAAAAAAACCACAGCACTTAATAAGACTTCAAGCTCTACTTTTTGGTGCAGAGAAGTCTTTCTTTTTCTCCTAAAATGGCACCATGCCTATCACTTTTTAGCTGGTATATTTGAACATCCAAATTAAAAGAAAGTCCAATCTACCTCCTATTCCTCACTGTAAACAACTTCTAGAATATTCTGATAGCACTGTATTTTCATCCCTTAAGATTAGATGGGCTTTCAAGATCAATTGCACAGCTTCCAATTATTCTCTTGTTGTGAATATATTTGGCAAGGCTCCAAATACTTGGGAAAGTGTAAATTCAAAATGCGTTACTGCCATATCAAATCTGCATTATTGGCACTGAACCAGAGCACATGGCTGAGTCTTGTATCTGCATGTAATTGTATTTTTTTTCTCTTTTAGTCCTGGACAGTTGATCTTTGTTTCTGGTGAGAGTGACCCAGAGCCTCGAGATATATGTACAGTAACTCCTCACTTAAAGTCATTCCGGTTAACGTTGTTTCATTGTTACGTTGCTGATCAATTAGCGAACATGCTTGTTTAAAGTTGCGCAATGCTCCCTTACAATGTTGTTTGGCAGCTGCCTGCTTTGGCCACTGCTTGCAGGAAAAGCAGCCCGTTGGCGCTAGCTGGTGGGGGCTTGGAACCAGGATGGACCGGCAGCCCCTTCCCCCCCACACACACACCAGCTCCCTGCTCCTCTAAGTTCCCTGTGTGGCCGCTGCCGAGCAGGCTATCAATTGCCAGTAATTCAGTTGTCCCTCTCCTACCCCCCTACCCCGCCATGTGCTGCTCCTGCCCTTTGCCTTGGAGCTGCTCCTGGGAGCCTCCTGCTTGCTTGGGGGGGGGGGTGGAGAGGGGGGAAGAGGGGAGAAAGGAGGAGGGCTAATGTAGGGTGTCCCCCTCTCCCCTGCCTACCCCATCTCCATAGAGTGGCGGCGGGGGGGCGGAGAGAGACACACAACAGGGCTCAGGATGGAGGGAGCTTGCTGGCAACAGCTGCAGTCTCAACTTGCTGATCTACTTAAAAAGGCAATGTACTTAGAATGGGGTCACGGTACTTAAAGGGACAATGCGCATCACACACACACACACACACACACACACACACACACACACACAGTGTGTGTGTCTGTCTACCATGCTGTCTCCCCTCCCTCCATTAGTGCTGCCTCGTAGAGTGTGAGGCTACATTAACAACCCTGTGTTAACCCTTGAGGGCTCAGCCAAGTGCTAGTTCATCATTTAGGAGTAAGGCATTCCCTGGGAAATATCCCACCCTCTGACTCCACCACCTCAACCAAGCTTCACAATCATCATTGCTGTGTACAGTATTAAACTATTTATATATACATAGTATAATTTTAAACATATAGTCTCTTGTCTGGTGAAAAAAATTTCCCTGGAACCTAACTCCCCCATTTACATTAATTCTTATGGGGAAATTGGATTCGCTTAAAGTTGCATTTTTCAGGAACATAACTACAACGTTAAGCAAGGAGTTACTGTACTTTCAAAAGATTCAAAACTAAAGAATTTGCTAGACCACTATCAAAGTAGTACATTGGCATTTGGTCCCAATAACTTTTATGGCATGTAAGTGTTAAGTGACAAAAACATAGATCTTTGCTGTACCACAGCACTGCAGCTGCCTTCCTTGATTGAATAAAGGCTACTAGAATGCACTCTCTTGCTCTCTCTCTCTCTAGAAAAAGACTGAAAAAAGATTAAAGTGCATTCTCCATCAACTGCATCTCTACTTAACTGCTACAGAGTTTTCAGTCTAATCCTATGAATTGCATGTAAGGTTTTCAAATAGTAAATATCCAATAAGTAAGATTTCTGAAGACTTTGTGTTATAAATCGTATCAATCTGTCCAAATAGAGCCTGTTCCTCCTAGGATTAGGCCTCTACAAAATCTGATCTGCCAATTCACTGTTCAATGTGGACTTTAATAATGGATCAAATCCAAACACCTCAAAAGGCCAAGAGTTTGGATTCCAACCCTTAGTGCAGTAATGTTCATATATGGTTTTGAGGACCCCATTATATAGATGGCGGGGGTTTGATACACATTTTTGGTTTGGGCTCAATCACAAATTCCTTCCTTTCAATAAGAAAACTTGTTACGAATAGTCAGATTTTACATTTAGGGGCCCTATCTTGCAAACTCTGAGTGGGTGGATACCTGTGCACTCACTGAGTCCCATAAACTTCCATGGGCTTCATACAGGGGCTCCTTGCTGAGTCAGGATACTTTAAAACTGTCTAAAAGAACTGTAAGACTAGTCAGATTCTGCAGACAAAGTGATACCATTTAGGCCATGATTCAGTAAAGCACTTAAAACATGTGCTTAATTTCTAGTACATGCTTAAGTTCCACTGAAGTCACAAGTGCTTTGCTGAATCAGGGCAATAATACTTCTCTGATAGCCAGGAACCTGGGAGAACCCTATCGGTGCCTAGGGATGATTTTCATTAGAAATACAAGTGGTTTAGTTATAACATTAATCCTTTTTTGGGGGGAGGGGGGAAGACAGATTGCAACCCTCTGGGATTAATTCTTTCAGCTGCATAGCTGTAACTAGTATTTCTGTAGAATTGCTGATTGAAAGTTGGATGTTCTCATGATACTCTAAGGGGAAAATTTTTCAAACTTTTATTAAACAAAGTTGTAAACAAATTCGGGAGGTTTTAATCCCATGCAAAATATGGATGTGGCAGGAATAAAAAGGGGACATTTTGTACTATTATGTATTGTAGGAATAAGAACAAATATCAAAGAACATCAGAAGCAACAAATCTTTCAACTGCCTGTATATGTTGTAATGTGAGGATGTGAATACTAGTGCCCCGCCATTGGAAAACAGCAAGCTATTGTTCACCAAACTTTTCCTGAAATGTTCATCTGTAAACATGATAGAGGGGGCTAAAGAGATCTGAAAAAATAATAAAAAATACCTTTAGAGGATGCTACCCATATTCTTAATTTTTTATTAGTTTTAAATTAGATGCCTTAATATTGTACAGTACTTTAAACATCTCACCTATTATTTGTGCCTAGGTAGTTGTTTAACATTTCCATAATACAGATCAGAGTAATCCAAGAAAGTTTTCCCACTTTCCATCTTCCAGCATAAAAAAGTTTTAAATATGGCATTGTTCTCTTTTGGTAGAATAAAGGGGAAGGAAGTTTACCTTGTTGCTCTGAACACTGCTAGAGGGATATCGGATTTGCCCAGTGACAAACCACATGCTTCGCAGATGGCTGAAGAGTGAAGTGAGATGAATAGTAATTCAAAAACCTCAGTTGTTTACAGAACGTTCAGTTTAATCATTTTATTAAAGTTCTGATCGATTGCTGTAAAAGTGTAAAAAAAAGTGGGAATAGTTCAAGCTAATGCGTTTATATGAAACAAACAAGTTAAGCCATCAGAATGAAAGACCACCAGAAGGAAGTTTACACCTATGCCCGTTGGGACAGTAAATCTTGACAGACATGCCCCACTTCTGAACAAGCATTACTCTGAAGCTGCCATTCAGAGACAGAAATTCCAATGATTTTTCAAAGCTTCAGAACCAGACACTTTTTTATATTGTATATAAATAAAGAGGTGTTCAACAATGACAATGCCTCAAAACAAAGAATTTTCACATACTCCCTTCCACAAAGGCAGACATGTCCCTATGATAGCGCAGGAAGTTTAAACTAAGGTGGACAGCATTTTTCCTCCCATTTGTTTCAGTGGGTGCACTATTGTGAGCACTGTGTTTAGTATATACAACTGGTCAGTCAGTCTTTCCCAACAGTTCCTTGAGATACCACAGCTTTTTCCTATGATTACATGATATGTTTTAACACTTTGCATTGGCAAATGTTTATACTTTAATGGCTTTCGCTGAATTTTAGTCTGTCGTGCAAGTGTAACTTTAGTTCCTATGCCAATGGGGCCTGGGGTGGGTGCACTGCATGGTCACTCCCATAGGAATACCCCTCTGTAGTGGCTTTCCATTTGGTGGGAAACTCACTATCCCAGGGCAGAAGTTGGCAACTAATGTCTTTGTATTTTAATGCCTACTTATCAAAATTATAGGCAAGAAGTGCTGGAAACAAGTGAATAATATGAATACAAAATATTGCTCTTACAAACACACTTACCCCATCTTATTCATAGATCTCAAAGCACTTTAAAATGGGAATCAGGCTTACGTGCCTTTGTATAGATGGGGAGACTGAGGCACAAGACTTGTCCTAGATCACTGAGTCAGTGGAACAGCTGGGAATAGAACCCATGCCTAAAGGATTGGCACATTCAGGTTAGGAGCTTCTTAATATTCAGCAAACAGAAAGTTTCTTGATTAGATTAAAGTTAGAATAAAGAGTAAGTGGTTGACATGGAAACTTTTCCATCTGCTCCTACGGCTGGGTCCCAGAGTCAGCAGCACTGTGCTGGTAAGAGTGAAGCACATTAGAGAAGAAAGATTCAAGTGTATTTTAACATGAAAAGCCCAAGCTGACTGAGTTAATTTACCAGCCACAACTACATGGAGCTTTTCAATACATTTTGAAACTTATTTAAGGACAACCTCAAGGTTTTCCCAATGAAGCCTATGAGAAACTTTCCATTCAGTTCCAATTTCCTGTCTTTTCATGCAAGCTTTCATATAAGAGCCATTCACCGTCAAAGACAATTTTAAAATCACTAGTTTGAATAAATAACTTAAAGCCCCCCAAATAAATCTACCCAATGTTAGATAGACGTTAAAGGAAATCTCTGGTGTGTTTCTATCGCTACAAGTTTCCAGTGTAAAGGCAATAAATGTTCAATCCTTTATGGGACTATCATCCCTATTCTAATAAAAGCTGCCATTTTCTAAAAAGGGAGAAAGTTACTACTCACCTGGGCAAGGGTCTTTTCTGAACACAATGTTCACGTGCAAAGGGAATGCGGTAGAAGAGCTACACTACATTTTTACAAATGTAAATCTACAAAAGCATAGCCAATTGCCAATATAGGGTAATAGATAAAGTGGAATGGTTTTCTTCCGTCCATGACCCTCAGTTATAATTGACAATAGGTTTCCTATATTACTCAGGATATAACAAGTAAATACCATACTACAAAAGCTCAAATTTTCCTTTAACTCCTCCCAAAGTTTGTAGGGCCTACTTGAGGGGTTTGGATCACTTAGGTAAATCCATCATAAAATACTTACTCAGTACTGAAGAGCATCTTCTCTAGAGGAGATAAAAATAGTATCTGAAACAAAATATCCTTTTCAAAATGCAGTCAGGAAGGTTCTGGTTAGTTCTATGCTGGTGTAAATCTGGAATATTTCTAATGAAATCAATAGCATTAACACCATATTTTCACCTACACAGTTGATATGGGAACTCAACCCAACTTCTCTAAAGATTGGTTATAGAATTAAATGTCTCTGACTAGCATTGACTTATTTTGGAAGGTGATTTTCTCCAACGATGTCTTTTTAATTAGCTGGATATCTTGTTTTGTCTCACTAGAGACTGGTAACTGCAGAACATCTCAGCAGGCTGGAGCTCCACAAAACTCCTTGTGCTGGAGTGAAATTTTGAGTCCCCTGTGGCTTCAAAGCACCAACAAGTTCTGTCACTGTAAAGCTGGCAGAGTGTCTGCTGCACAACGGAATCCCAGGTTTGAAGCAGAACTATCAGGAGTGTTTTGACTGCGGGCTGCACAGCGATACCTGTAGCAATAGGACTAGAAGGCAAGAAAAAAAAAGTCACTTAAGCGCATATTACAGCTTGTGTCTATGTCTACAGAAGTAAGGGCTGGTTAGACTAATATCACAGAGCATTTCAATTGCTGCTGATGTTTGCTACTGACGGGCAAAGATGACAGTCAAGCACCAGGCTGATGGGAAAAAGTTGGAAACGCCTATTGGATGGAAGAGAGGAAACTCAAGGAGAAATTCTGACAGCTATTTGAACACTTGGTTACCCTTAATTCCACTCCACCTCCCTTCCTGCCCACCCCCCATCTTTTTATATTTTATTGAAGTTCTTCAGGACAGGAAACTAATAAATTGAGTCTGTAATAAGATTGTATGTTACAAATGCATCAAGAGGTACACTGGGAACAATTACCTACCTCAGATGTGCTGAAAATGAAGGAAAGTTTGTAAACTACTCTGAAGATTAAAAGCACTGTTATTTATGCAGTGCCACGGGAGGGTCTGATGCTTTAGTCAGCAATATAGTGCTTGCAGATACAAGCTTAATGGGGTTCTCGCAACAAATTTTTTGGTGGCCTCAGAGTGCAGCCACCAAACTCTTGCTGGTGGTTACTCTGACAATTTTTCCTAAAATACTTAATTAACTTTTGGAAAAATTAATAAATATGCACATATAAATGTCCAAATCATTGTAATTTATTTATGTAGGGTTTTTTTTTGCAGAATCAATAATAAAAACAATGTACAGTTGTCTCTATTCTTTATTGGACCTAAACAGAATAGAAACACAAATAAGGTGCTTTTGCACATTCTTGTCTTTTTTTCTTTGTTGTTTCTTTTGCTTTTTTTGTATTGCTTTTTTTTTTTTTTTTTTTTAAAGTACTTACTAGCTACTAAGTCTGCTGTGGAAAGTAATATTAACAAACATACAAATATCACTTTTCACAGCAGACTTACTGAGTCCCAGCAAAGCTGGGGACAAATTAAGTCCTGAATGGGGAGGTGGGTATGGAGGCAGCAGGAGCCGGGGCAATGGGGCACTGGGGAAAGCAGCAGTGGTCGAAAACCGGCCACCTGGCAATCCTAAGTAATATTAGCTTATTAAGAACTGTAGTACATTGACTTTAGATGAAATACCTTAAACAGTAGTTGCACAAGTTTAAAGTACATATACATGAATATATTTAATGCAAGTCCATGTCAGAACGCAGTTCAGTGTGTATTCCAATATACTTTTTCTTGCACTTTTCAGATGTTTCCAGTATAGATAGCATTTACATTATTCTGCAGCTTTTTAGTCAAAAAATGAAAATCTGAAAAGATTAGTAACTAATAGATCTCTCCCTCTAGTCCCCTTAAAAAACAACAACAACAACAACTGTATTCCATGCATTTGAAGAATTGAAAATTGTGTGTGAAGATCTTTATAGGTCAAATTTAGAATTGCATCCTGCCTCTCCCCACACTTAATTTGCAACATAAGACTGAAACATACTTAATAAGGCACAGATTAGATTCTAGTGTAGCACTTCATGGTTTGGACACTGAAACAGCTATAAGATCAGACATGAATATTTCTCAATTTAACCCAATCAATGTAGCTGTACTATTTGACAGCCAGAGTGCAAACTAGCCTTTTCTCATTGTACAAGATTTGTCAGCAAGGCAGTCTATTATTCTGCTTTTTTCTCTTTGTAGCGAATAAAACTCAGTTTCCTGATTTAATGGGGAAAAGGGTCTTGATACATAAAGAGGATTTGGAAGTGAAAGGTACTGACATCTGTCTAGAAGAATCCTATTGAACATGACAATGAAATCCCAAGGAAAAAAAGCAACTGGACTGAAGACCAATTTATGTACTGGTATGCCTGCTGGTAGTCTTTTTAGGGATACCTATACTCTGATATAATCTATATCGGTGGCCACAAACATTTTCATTTAAAATGAAATCACTGGGATAGATGATTCAGCTACCTGTCAGAAGTTCTTGGTAAGCAATTATTTTGCGCTGACAGTTTCCTCTCTTACTGGCCTGATTTCAGAATAGGCTGCAATTATATGCAAGTTGCCCTTTAGAAAACTCAGAGGAGGAACTGCTATTTCAAATCTCCCTGATATGAGGGAGGCAGCACAGGATTATCCAACATGACCTACGCTCTCAGACTCTCTTTAATGTGGCCCCTCTGCTGGGACTGAGGCACACTGGTAAGGAACTGTCAAAAGCTTGCACTGTTAATTCTGTACCTGTTCTGTGTATGACAGATTTGAATCTTCAGTGGTGACAGTCAGGAATGGTTATAGTCAACGGAGCAGATGCAAGGATTACCACACACACACAGTCCCAAGTCAGTTGTTTCCAATGTAGATAACATTTGTGTTATTCTGCAGATTTTTTTAGTCCAAAAATGAAAATTGGAAAAGATTAGTAATTTATAGATTTGGTTTGTGTGAGCACTGCATGTCTCAACAACATATGGCTTACCAAACTTACAATCCAACAAAAGGGATCAAATTCAAATTCATTCCACTAGCATCAAGGATGAATTTGGCCTAGAGTTTTTAATGGAAGGGCCACCAGAAATTATTCAGAAAGGATTAAATGAACTTAATCCATTTTAGCCCCTAACATTGGACTACCGATTTAAAAAGCTAAACTTCCACTCCAATTAGTATTTTCAGTTAGGAGAGAGGAAGAAACTTGCAGCAATTAGGATAACACAAGTTTGAATAAGTTGGAGAGATTTCATTTCGGCACCTTTCAGATTTCCAGCACACAGTATTAACTGCCATATATACTCGTTCATTAACCCGTTCGTTTATAAGTCGACCCCCCTGTGACGTTGTGCAGTCTATATGGTTTTATAAAAATATAAGTGAATGTAATGTAACTGGGATACGCTTCGTGCAAAAGGTCTCTTGTAAGGTATCATTACAAAGCTCATAATCTACTGAATGTGATCATCTCATTTGTAGAAATGTACCACTCTTGTATCTAAAACTAGAAATATAAAACAACTCTGAGGGCCTATTGTAATTATGTAAAGCGTGGGCCATTAAGGATGGTTTGGAATCTTGATGACTCCCATTGTCGGCAGATGGCCGTATTTACCTGTGAGTCTTCCTGTATATGTGTGTGCTGGCAAGTGAGTAATGAAGTCTTGCAGTGACATGTGATCATGTCACCTGAACTGGAATCAGTCTTTAACCTGGTGCTTTTCCAGTGAGGGGGGGTGGAAACCCAGAGGGACAAAGGGTTCCCGCCTTATGCAAAAGATATATAAAGGGGTGGAAGAGAACAAGGGGGAGAGGAGCCATCATGAAGAATCCCCTAGCTGTCACCTGAGCTGCAACAAGAGCTGTACCAGGGGAAAGAATTGTGCCCAGGCCTGGAAGGTGTCCAATCTGAGAAAAACTTACTGAAGCATCTCTGAGGGTGAGATTATCTGTATTCAGTTTGATCAAGCATAGACATGCACATTTTATTTTATTTTGCTTGGTGACTTACTTTGTTCTGTCTGTTACTACTTTGAACCACTTAAATCCTACTGTCTATATTTAATAAAATCACTTTTTATTTAGTAATTTACTCAGGGTATGTATAAATACCTGGGGGAGCAAACAGCTGTGCATATCTCTCTATCAGTGTTATAGAGGGCGAACAATTTATGAGTTTGCCCTGCATAAGCCTTATGGTTTAGACCCCATTGGGAGTTGGGCATCTGAGTGCTAAAGACAGCACACTACGGGGAGCTGTTTTCAGGTAAACTTGCAGCTTTGGGACAAGTGATTCACACCCTGGGTCTGTGTCTGGAGCCAGATGGGAGTGTCTGGCTCAGCAAGACAGGGTGCTGGAGTCCTGAGCTGGCAGGGAAAACAGTAGCAGGGGTAGTCTTGGTACATTGGGTGGCAGCTCCCAAGGGGGTTTCTGTGATCCAACCCATCACACCCCCCAAGATGGATAGGTAAAAATAGCAAAAACTGTATGACCTTTTCATAAGCCAACCCTATATTTCAGGGGTTGGCAAACTTTGGTTCCTGGCCTGTTAGGAAAAGCCGCTAACGGGCCTGGACGTTTTGTTTACCTGGAGCGTTCGCAGGCACGGAGCCCTTCAGCTCCCAGTGGACGTGGTTTGCCACTTCCCGCAGCTCCCATTGGCTGGAAATGGCGAACCGCGGCCACACGGAGCTGAGGGGCTCCATGCCTGCATATGCTCCAGGTAAACAAAATGACAATGTATTAGATATTCAAGTCAATGATTCCATAGAGTTTAAAATCATCAAATTTTGGTGCAGACCCATTTATAAGCCGACCCCAGCTCTTTGATGCTTCATTTTTTTACCAAAAATAGTCGGCTTATGAACGAGTATATATAGTAATATGAAGTTTGCTTTATTTCAGTTTAATAAACTGTAGGTACTGAAAAAAAATTAGCTTTCCCTCTTCCACTACACCGTTTATTGGACTTTGCATTTTGCTCCCTTTCGGAGAATAAATTCACCAAAAGCACGATTAAAGCTGCAAAACTATGACGTTAACTTGGGACAGGCAAAAGGAGTTATTTGTAAAAATGTAGGTCAATTCAAAAACTAGGGGTCTTTATCTACTTCTTCCTATCAAGTAGAACGCTCCGCACTTTTTGGAAAAATTAACTATGAAGTGACAAATATTCTAGAACCATCTGCAGAAAGCAGAGGTAACTGGCTGTTTATACACAGACACGAACAATGGAATAGGATCTCTCCACCTCTCCCCTTGTAATGTTCAAATAATGATAGCATTTCAAACATTAATGAAATATGCCTTAATATTGAATACTGAGGAGTCCACATTCATGAATTGCAATATGCTTAGAACAGTTAATATTTTGCATTTACAATTGGAGATGCTAATGATTTTCCTACACACACACAAATTAAAAATGTGATTAAACTGGCAGGTGTTTAAAAGTGACATTATGGGATTCCTTTGTTCATCATCTTCCTTTCAGATCAAATGTGCTTGTTTATAACATTTATGAGAGTTTTGATCCAAGTGGCTAGTCAAATTTTGGGGCCTTGGGGACATTTCAGTTAGGAGGAGAAATTGGCAATATTCATATTTCTTTGATGCAATCTTGTTTATTTACAAGGAATGTATGAAGTCCTGGTCTCTGAACACAGAAGGAATCAAATAGCAGAAAATATCTTCTTTTGCTCACAGAGCCAACAGCAGCCTTTCCCGCTTGCACCCTTTCCCCAGGTGTCTTTCAGATCCTACACCATGCTTTCAGCTGCTCCTTCGGGCTGTCTGTATCCCTCTGGTCCTCTGTGTTCCGTCTTCCCTCCTCTCTCTCCCACACACCCTCTCCTCTCTGCCTAAAACAATATTCAATAAAACTTCTTGGGCAGGTTCAGATTCTCCTTGTGTTCTAGGTGGGGGTTTATCCTTACAGTTATTTCAACGGCAAGGTGCATTCACGCCTATCCATCTCAATGATGTTTTACCTCAACCCGTAAAAAAGGTTTCACCCAGCTCACAACAAAGATGTAATTTCCCTGCAAACTCAAACTATTTTTTCCCCAGGCTCAACACCACCACCAGGAATGTAGGTTCCACAACTGGAATTTAGTTTGATCTAATGTGTGAGCCAAAAATAGAACCCAGTTCATGTCACCATATAGCCTCTCAGTAAAAAGAATAACAGTAAAAATGTATCCAAGAAGTTTCATTTCCCCCAAGAGACATGCCTACAATGAGAGTCCTTTCATTCCTGGAAAATGTCAGGCAGAAAAATTCAAGTTCTGTTGTACCTAGCAGCATGCTTTTGCATTACCATGCAATAATTTGTGAGTTAGAGGGAAAGATTTTCATTGGTACAACCAGCAAGCCATCTAAAGGCTGCATAGCACTGTAGGACCCTGTATTGATGTACATAGCTCATGGAAGTACACATAGAGTCATCCATTTACACTCACACAGTTTCACAGGTGCAAATGGATTTTGCATGACTGACTTCTGAAGAGCTGGCTTATAAAGGTCATGATGTTAGAAATAGAATCAGAACTGGAAGGGACCTCAAGAAGTCATCTAATCCAATCCCCTGCACTCAAGGAAGGACTAAGTATTATCTAGACCATCCCTGACAGGTGTTTGTCCAACCAGCTCTTAAAAATCCCCAATGATGTAGATTCCACACCCTCCCTAGGCAATTTATTCCAGTGCTTAACCACTCTGACAATTAGGAAGTTTTTCCTAATGTCCAACCTAAACTGCCCTTGCTGCAATTTAAGCCCATTGATTCTTGTCCTATCCTCAGATGTTAAGGAGAACAATTTTTCTCCCTCCTCCTTGTAACAACCTTTTATGTACTTGAAAACATATGTCCCCTCTCAGTCTTCTCTTCTCCAGACTAAACAAACCCAATTTTTTCAATCTTCCCTCATAGGTCATGTTTTCTAGACCTTTAATCATTTTTGTTGTTCTTCTTTGGAATTTCTCCAATTTGTCCACATCTTTCCTGAAATGTGGCATACAGAACTGGACACAATACTCCAGCTGAGGCCTAATCAGCACGGAGTAGAGCAGAAGAATTACTTCTCGTATCTTGCTTACAATACTGCTGCTAATAGATCCCAGAACGATGATTCCTTTTTTTGCAACAGCGTTACACTGTTGATTCATATTTAGCTTGTGATCTACTATGACCCCCAGATCCCTTTCCGCAGTACTCCTTCCTAGGTTGTCATTTCACATTTTGTATGTGTGCAACTGATTGTTCCTTCCTAAGTGGAGTACTTTGCATTTGTCCTTATTGAATTTCATCCTATTTACTTCAGACCATTTCTCCAATTTGTCCAGATCATTTTGAATTTTAATCCTATCCTCCAAATCACTTACAACCCCTCCCAGCTTGGTATCATCCACAAACTTTCTAAGTGTACTCTCTATGACATTATCTAAATCAGGCGTTGGCAACCTTTCAGAAGTGGTGTGCCGAGTCCTCATTTATTCACTCTGATTTAAGGTTTTGCGTGCCAGTATTACATTTTAACGTTTTTAGAAGATCTCTTTCTTTAAGTCTATAATATATCATTAAACTATTGTTGTATGTAAGGTAAATAAGGTTTTTAAAATGTTTAAGAAGCTTCATTTAAAATTAAATTAAAATGCAGAGCTGCCCAGACCAGTGGCCAGGACCCGGGCAGTGTGAGTGCCACTGAAAATCAGCTTGCATGCTACCTTTGGCATGCGTACCACAGGTTGCCTATCCCTGATCTAAATCATTGATGAAGATATTGAACAGAACTGGACCCAGAACCGATCCCTGTGGGACCCCACTCGCTATGCCCTTCCAGCATGACTGTGAACCTCTGATAACTACTCTCTGGATACAATTTTCCAA